CTAACTTCACTGGTTGGGTTGCCGTTTAACTCCGTTCTCACCCAAACGCTACCGCTTATTCGTCCTTATAAAGGCTTATTTCACGGCTATTCTGTATATCTACAGGATTAACAAGCGTTTGGGCGGCTCGCTGTCCGCGACCGCTTATTCGTCAGTCCAAATTAATGGACTGCATATTTCGCGGCTAACCTGCATATCTGCAGGCCATTCCTCTATCCGCAACCTGAGGACGCGCCTGATTACCCGAGCTAGGGAAACTGCGCTCGTGCCGACGTTTCGTAGCCCCGTAGAGCCCGATCACACCGACACTGTAGCGCAGCGCAACGGGCCACGTTGTGAATCAGCTCTTGATTAATTTCGGGCTGATTCACAACGTGGTGGTGTGAATTATTAAGACGGCGTGGGCCGCCCTGAAGTAATGTCTCACAGCAGTTCCAGGGTGACCCACAATAATGACGGCCGTTAATAAAAAAAAAAAAGGCTGGTGCTACTGAGGAAGGGTGACAAGCCCGAGGGTGTCCCCTCATCGTACCGACCGCTTTGCATGTTGGACGACTTGGGGAAGATCCTCGAGCGGCTGCTCGTCACCCGGATCGAAGCCCACCTGGCCGACGTCGGCGGACTGGCCGATGGCCAGTTCGGCTTCCGGAGGGGGAGGTCGACGGATGATGCGGCCTCCCTCTTCAGGGATTTGGCACTCAGGGCCAAAACTGAGCAGGGTTTCGGGGTGGTGGTGAGCTTGGGCATCCGAAACGCGTTCAACTCTGTGCGATGGTCAGACATCCTAGGAGCGCTGGACGCGTTTCGGGTGCCTCCTTCGGACTAGCGCTCAGGCAGATGACCATGCTCCGGTGGCGGACTCGCTTCTCGGAGGAAACGACGAGAGGCGAATAGACCAGGTCCCTCATAGGACCCGATGGGCTGGACAGGTTGGTGGACTGGACTCATGGTGAGATGACTTATCGTCTCACTCAAGTGATGTCCGGCCACGGCTGCTTTAACGAGTACTTACACCGTATTTGTAAAGCAGTCGCGCCGACGTGCGACCACTGTTCGGATCGCCCGGGAAAGGCTGATAGTGCTTTGCACACCCTCTTCCGGTGCGAGGCTAATATTACTAATATTTCGTCTTTTGTTGTTGTGTTTCGTAAATACGATTGTTAGCCGTTTGTACCGGCAGTGAAATACAAGATCAAATTTATAAACTATTAATTGGTAAGAATTTCAATATTTAATCTAATATTTGTTATCTATAGNGTCCAGTTGTTCGTCGAATCCGTCTTATTGAAGAAGGAGGAAGCGGAACGCCTGAGACAGAGACAGCCACGCCGCCCGGCACAGGAGGACCTGAGGCGCTGGTTTAGGCCAGTGCCTTAGGTTCTCATTTTTGTGTAATTTTACATGTCGTGTCAGTTATTTTGGCAGTCCTCCCTAACGGTTCCCACTCTGGGATCCGGTTAACTGGAGGGGGCCACACCACGTTGCGAATCAGCTATTGATTAATTTCGTGCTGATTCGCAACGTGGTGGAGTGAATTATCAAGACGGCGTGGGCCACCCTGAAGTAATGTCTCACAGCAGTTCCAGGGTGGCCCACAATAATGACGGCTGTTCGGGTGAACGCTCAAGTTGGTCATATTGATAGTGTATCAGCTGGTGATAACACTCTACTCATCGGACGCTTGGCCGTTATGGGTTTGTACTTCACTCTCTCGAGATCCGTCGCTTGTTTATTTTTTTTTGTTTGTTAAACGCGTCTTTTCTCGCTCTCGTCATCTTAAAGTTGTTACTCATAACCTAAAACTGTTATAATTTTTTTTTTTTTTTTNTCATCCTAAAGTTGTTACTCATGACCTAAAACTGTTGTAATTTCTTTTTTTCATTGTGTAATTACTAATATTTCGTCTTTTGTTGTTGTGTTTCGTAAATACGATTGTTAGCCGTTTGTACCGGCAGTGAAATACAAGATCAAATTTATAAACTATTAATTGGTAAGAATTTCAATATTTAATCTAATATTTGTTATCTATAGACCTTGTGGTTCGCACATTAGCTCTTATTGACCATAGGGCACAGTGTCAATTTGTATTAAAAACTTTGGATATATTAACTCTATGCTTGCTCGTCTTAATAAAACCATTTTAATTAAACCACTCTCAAGAGAATGTTAAAGTGCGAACCCCTTGGTATAATTGTCCAGTAAGATTAAATTTATAATTTAGTTAAGTTCAAAGTGCAGTTAAGTTTCTAGTAATTTTATGTTTACTTATAATAGTGTTTTGGCTTGGAACTAGATATATTTGCTTATTGTTGTCGCACATGATCTTACAGTTATTCATGTTGTAGTACACAGCAAATCCAGTCCATAAGTCTACATAATTTAAAATAATTAAATAGTTGAGCTGCTCATTTAATATTGTATCTGAGTTGACTGTCTATTGTTTAATGAAATTATTTGCTTCTTACATTATTATTACAATTTAATTTAATCGACCACTGGTCATTTTACGATTAAGATTAATTCTGTCCTTTGTTTATTGAACTATAAGTTTTGTCCAGCTGTTGTTATTAACTCATACTTTGTTAAGAATTGTTGTATCTATTTAATTCAATTAATTCTCTTGAACAATTTTATTTATTATCCCTTACTTAATTTTGTTAACACTAATAACATTTGTACATTTTTTTTACCCAATCTCTACTAGCTACTTAATTTAATTTGTTAATATAATTGAATCTAAGTCTGTACTAACTGTTGCTTTTATAATTTGCTCATTGCAATAAATTTACTTTGTTCATTGAATCACTTGTTACCTTGAATATTCACCTCTCTTTACCTCTTTATCACATATACAGTCCACTATCACAATCAAGTATAATAAGTAACTAATTGAAGTTCGCCGAATCAGTGATGAGTCAAAAAGATAAGGCCGAACGTCTGTTATTAAAGTTATTTTTCTTTAATTTTAAGTGTTCTGTTACTTAGAACATAGTTTGATGGTGTTTCAATTTTCCGTCGACTTTCTAATATTTTCGACTTTCAAATTGTTTTTATGTGTAAACAAGTTGTTCTTCTAAAATTTTAAGTTTTTTCTTACATAGAACGTAGTTTAATGATATTTCAAATTTTCGTTGACTGTCTAATTTTTTCGACTTTCAAATTGTTTTATGTATAAATATGTTGTTTTTCAGTAATTTTAAGTGTTTTCTTACTTAGAACGTAGTTTGATGATGTTTCAATATTTCGTCAACTATCTATTTTTTTCGACTTTCAAATTGTATTTATGTGTAAACAAGTTGTTTTTCTTAAATTTCAAGTTTTTTCTTACTTAGAACGTAGTTTAATGATATTTCAATTTTTCGTTGACTGTCTAATTTTTTTGACTTTCAAATTGTTTTTATGTATGAATATGTTGTTTTTCTGTAATTTTAAGTTGTTTTTCATTTAGATTTATGTTTAATAATGATTCAATGTTTGGTCAACTATCAAATTTTTTCGACTTTCAAAGTCTATTTATGTGTAAAAAAGTTGTTTTTCTTAAATTTTAAGGGTTTTCTTACTTAGAACGTAGGTTAATGATATTTCAATTTTTCGTTGACTGTCAAATTTTTTCAACTTTCAGATTGTTTTTATGTGTAAATATGTTGTTTTTCAGTAATTTTAAGGGTTTTCTTACTTAGAACGTAGTTTGATGATGTTTCAATTTTGCGTCGACTTTCTAATTTTTTCGACTTTCAAATTGTNAATGATGTTTCAATTTTCCGTCGACTCTCTAATTTTTTCGACTTCCAAATTGTTTTATGTATAAATATGTTGTTTTTCAGTAATTTTAAGTGTTTTCTTACTTAGAACGTAGTTTGATGATGTTTC